TATTATATGTATATAATGAAGTATGAAAGAGCTGTAATCATGAGATAAAAGATATTGTAACAACGTTTGATGAAAAATCATTTATATGATAGAAAACGTTAAAAATCGTGTTAAGTGTACATATATTGAGCTTAGATATAATCATACAATATATGTAAGTAAACCAAACATATACCCAGGTAAATCCACACATATGAACTTGAATCTTTAACGCTTGATTGACGTGTGTTGAAATACCTGAAAATAGAAACATAAACACAAAAACTAGAGAATATATTAGCGATAAATTGTTTGACAAATCATCATCAAAACTATAGGGTCAACACATGTGAGAAAGTAAAGTAATCTATGGTCTCTATACCTATATAGTCAATCAATCAAACGTATTAAAATTATGATGACTACAGCCAAAATTATATAGTGGGTTCACATTAAATTTAATTTATAAAAAATAGTACATTAAAGTCAAAATCCTTTTAACCACTATATAGATTGTTTAAAATTTTTTGCATATATAAACTATACTGCCAAGGAATAACAATGATCACACTTAACTATGACCTAATAATCTTAAAAATAAATTACCCTTCAATATCATTATTAATTGACATATCTATGCATTACATTAAAAACACAATGAAAAATTTAGAAAACTATAAAAGAAACACCCTCAAAAGTTTTAAAATTTATAAAAAAACATAGTAAAATTTTATAATTTATACAAAACTATTAAACAATACATTGAAATCAACGAATTGCAAAAAATCATTGAAAAAAATTCAAACTTTGGAGGGATAATTTGCAATGTACTAAACTTTAAGGGTGTGTTTTTATAAAGTTTAAATTTAATAGATTTTTGATTAGTTATGTTCTTTTCAAAAAAGTTATGAGTAATATTGAACATGAAATTTTTTTTCTAAACCTATACTTTTAAAGGGAAACTGATATTTTTTGCAAAATTTTAGGGGTTGTTAGTAATATTGTATATTCATTTTAGTGTCTATAGGTTAGATATTCTCATAGTGTTTTCTATGTAAATTATCAATTTTAGGGGCTATTTGCAATTTTTTAAACTTATAGGATTTTTTACAGATTGTAAATTGTTTATAGACTATTTATAATGCCTATGCTTTCGATTTACTAATGAGTTTGAAATTCTCGGGGTGTTTTTTATAAATTTTAAATTTTAAGGGTTTGTTTATAATTTTTGAAACTTTAAGAGTGTTTTCTATAAAGTATAAATTATATCGGGGATATTTATAATTCCTATATTTTCAATGTACTGTTAGGTTGAAAATCATCAGGATTTTTGTAAATTTTATAATTTTGAGGGTTTTATTTTGCAATTTATAAAAGTTCAGAGTGTTTATTTCAAATTCAATAAGTTTTTGGGGTTGTTTGTATTATATGTAGGTTTTTAGTATGTTTACAAGTTTAAAAATTTTAAGGTCTTTTTTATAAATTTTAAATTTTTAGGGGTGTTCTTGTAATTTTTAAAAATTACAAGATATTTTCTCTAAATTCAAAACACTTTCAGTTTCTAGCTAACATATGTTTTTCAGATTTCTCACTGAATTGAAATAAGTAAAATTTATAATTTTCAAGATGTTTTAATAAAATTTTAAATTTGTAGGGGTGTTTTTTCAATTTAAAAAGCTTAGAGGATATTTTTTTAAAGTCCAAAAACTTTAAGTGTTGGCTAACATATATTTTTAGATTTTTATGCGTACTGGAATAAGTAAAATATTTAAATTATATCAAACATATCTCATTTATCCAATATTATGTTAAGTCTCATTATGAATAGGATAAATCATTTCGTTGCCAATTCAAAGAAAAAAGATAATTAGAATAGATTAGGATAACAATGCAATATTTAAAAAAATTAAGGGTAATATTGGTCATGGAAAGATTTTTCCGAAATCGTACTTTTAAAATGAGTATGTTTATAATATGATATGATATGATATGATATGTTATATATACACACTATCTCAAAAAGCAAGAATTCTTATATTGTTTTAGTTGAAAATTTAATACGCTTAAGTCTTACTATCAAGGACAGGAATCCTTTCCATCCTTTGTTCGTAAATGAACCCTTTTTTTGGGTTATTTAGCTATTGGTGGCTCAAATCTTTAATAATTTCATATTAATCCATCAAATTTATGAAGTTGCTCATTAGTCCCTCAAATCTTAGGATTATTGGAATTCAGTCTTTAAATGACCAAAATATCCTCAGCTACTATTTTTTTGAAGGGTTATTTATAATTTGTTACTCTAAAGTATATATCTTTTTAAACTTTGATACCAAGAGTTTTGTTTAGCATTTTGATACCGTAAAGTTTATACCTTTTTAACTTTGATGCCCCATACTTTTTTTATCATTTTGATACACCAAAGTTTTCTCATTTTTTAACTTTCATGCTCTAAAATTTTAACATTTTTTTACTTCGATACCTCAAAGTTTATACATTTTTAACTTTAATACCCTAAAGTTTAGGATATCAAAGAGTCAAAGACAACTTTGGGGTATCAAAGTTAAAAGTTATAAAAGTGTCATAACAAAAATGTCAAAAAAAAAAACACTTTAAGATATCAAAGATAAAAAGGTGTAAACTTTAGTGTCAAAAAACTCTGTGGTATTAAAGATAAAAGGGTGTAAAGTTTAGAGCAATGTTGAAAATAGCGATAACGCATAGCGTAACGCTTACCTCCAGTTAGGTTACAATAGCGATAACGCATAGCGTAACGTAGGTTAAATAATTTATTATTATTTAAATAGTTTATAGATATATAACATTCAAAATAAAAAAATATGAATAATCATCGCAATTTTCAATTTCACAAATCAATATATCATCACAATTTCACAACAAAATCAACCATGTTTGCCTTAACAATCAATCCAAAAGCATAAAATACTTCAAGTTCGAAACCAAAAAGGATCCAATGATCCATAAACTATGAAGTATGAAATTATTGGGTTGGGTTGGAATCCATGAGTATGAAATTATGAATCAAGTTGTAATGAAAGGATCCAATGATCCATAAACTCAAAACCAAAAGCATGCTTATGTTTGGACAAGGCGGCGTGAAAAGGGGGAGTTGCAGGCTAAAGTAGCAAAGAAAAGGGCATGAAAAGAGGAAGGGGAGGCGGAGCTGCAGGCGGCGTGAAAAAGGAGTGAAAAGGGGAAGGGGAGGCGGAGCTGCAGGCGGCGTGAAAAGGGCGTGAAAAGGGGAAGGGGAGGCGGAGCTGCGGGCAGCGTGAAAAAGGCGTGAAAAGGGGAAGGGGAGGCGGAAAATAACCTAAGTTATAACTCAATCACAGCCGTTCATTTCTTTTAAAAGCAATCTAAGCCATTGACAAAATAACCTAAGTTATAAAACGTTATGACGTTACGTTACGTAACTTACGTTATAGCTAAAATAACGTGTGTTATTTTGTCTTTGCGTTATTTTCAAACGTTACGTAACGTTAAGCTACCGTTACGTTACGTTAAGCGTTATTTTGCGTTACGAAACGCGTTATTTTCAACACTGGTTTAGAGTACTAAAGTGTAAATAACCATTTTCTTAACAAGATGAGTTTTGAGATAGAAATCATAACTAATGAGTATTTTAGTCTCGAGGGACCAAATTGCAAGACACCTTAGTGTTAGAGCCTAGAGGCACTAATGAACATTTATCAGGATTTGAGGGACTAATATGATATTATTGAAGATTAGAGGGACTGTTATTTACAGTAACCCTTTTTTCTGGTAGATCCAGAAACAAGGGACCTAAATTACTCTACCCTTAGGGGCTGTTTGGTTAGAATTTTTTTCTCTTGAAAGCCTGCCAAAGTGTCACTTTTTGGCAGGCTTTCAGCCCAAATCACCTCTAAAAAAGAAGATTTTGACTGAAAGCCTGCCAAATTAAAAGTGACACTTTTGATACTTTTGACAGGCTTTCAAGAGAAACTTTCCCTTAAAAACAGGAACCAAACAGCCCCTTGTAGTTTGGGGGAGCGAAACATCTATAGGGATCACCATACAAAAAACTACAAATGGCTGAGGAAACGTACAGGGTACAACTTCATTATGTTAGAAGTCATGCAGCACGGACTTCAAGAAACCAAGAAACTTCTCAAAGTCAAGAAACTGGTGAAGTCCACGTGCGTTGCTCGTTATCAGATATCTTAACCAAGAGTGGTGACTTACACATAACACAAACTCATTGGCTTATTAATTCAGTTCTTCGTGCAAATAAATATTTTTTCGAATGGCTCTTTTCTGGATACTCATTGTCCTTCGACAGCTTCTGCTACATAGAAAAGCTTTATGCTCAGCTCGTAACCTGATAAGGACGGGCTCTACGTGGCGATCGAATAGGCTATGGCTGTACTGCTAGAGTGTGGGGAGATATTTGGGCGGGCGGAAATGCTCTTAATATATACCGATACTGCCGACAGGTTTTGAGAACGTTAGGGTGGCAGCTTTGATGGACGAGTCGCGCGGCTGGGGGTTGAGACAGGGATCTTGTGCTTGATATATTTGATCGGCCGGTTGATGCTAGAGTAATTTTGAATATCCCATTATTGCACTTGAAACCTCGAGACAAATTAGTTTGGACAGCTTGTAAAACTGGCATCTTTTCTGTCAAATCAGCCTATTTTGTTGCTAAAAAGCAGGCGGGCCGATTACTACAGAAGGGTTGTGCAGCCGGGAGTTGGAGTCCGAGAAGCGTCGCAGGACGACGGTGATGTGGTTGGTTTAGATAGAGGAAGAAGAATAGGAACAAACATAAGAACAGAGGAAGATAAGGAGAAGAACTAGAGGATAAGCAAACAATAATTCTCATTCATACCAACATCTTCATTACAACAACTATATATAACTACACTAATTATCTCTACCCACTAACATCACTCCTCTCTACAACTACCCACTAACACCACTCCTCTCTCTACAACTATCCACTAACATGCATCACTCTTCCCACTATCCCTGTCCTGCACGTATCATTCGCCCCCCCTTAAGGATCCTTGTCCACAAGGATAAATCGGGATAACTAGCTTGTGGAAACACCATTCATTCTCCCAGGTAGCATCTTCTGCTGGTGCACCGACCCACTTCACCAAGATTTCAGATTTTGGGCGGTATTTACATTTGCGTATCACACATCGATTTAAAATAGCTTCAGGTTGTGGAAGTATAGTCGAAGTCTCTGAGACAGGGGGAAGTTGGGTGGACGTTGGAGTGATTGGTCCCAAATGCTTCTTTAATAAACTGACATGAAACACATCATGAACTTGAGAACCAGGAGGCAAAGCCAGTTTATAAGCCACTGGACCAACTTTCGCAATGACTTTGTAGGGACCAAAGAAACGTGGGGCGAGCTTCATGGAGGAACGAAAAGCCACAGAGGTCTGTCTGTATAGTTTGAGTTTCAAATACACATAATCTCCCACAAGGAAGGAGTCCTCGCGTCGGTGTTGGTATGCTTGACATTTCATCCGATCTTGAGCCAGCAGAAGGTTATGTCGCAGCTCACGTAGGATAGCATCTCGGTCACACAGATACTCATCTACTGCTTGGACGTGGGAAGTACCTGGTACATAAGCCAATAGACGTGGAAGCGGAATGCCATAAACAGCTTCAAAGGGTGTCATCTTGGTGGAGGAGTGAGGTGAAGTGTTAGAACGAGAAGTATGTGGGTGTGAGGATTCAGCACGTGTGCTAGTGTTTTGACTATGGGAGGCTCGAAGAGCTTGAAGCTCGGTTAACACTTCCTTTAAGATTGCATTCGCCTGATCAAACTAGTCTCGTGTCGTGCTAAGATTTCGTAGACATTGTTGCGGAATTCTGCATTTGTTTTGCTGTGAGTGTCCATGGTCGGAACCGGCTCTGATACCAATGATGTGGTTGGTTTAGATAGAGGAAGAAGAATAGGAACAGAGATAAGAGCAGAGGAAGATAAGGAGAAGAACTAGAGGATAAGCAAACAATAATTCTCATTCATACCAACATCTTCATTACAACAATTATATATAACTACACTAATTATCTCTACCCACTAACATCACTCCTCTCTTCAACTACCCACTAACACCACTCCTCTCTCTACAACTATCCACTAACACCACTCTTCTCTATACAACTATCCACTAACACCATTCTTCCCACTATCCCTATCCTGCACGTATCAGACGGCTGAGACAGATGCTCGATGTCACCTATCTCTCGAGAAGACGAGGAGGGACTTATAGGTGCAATATATCAAAGCTTTGGACGTCCATGGCCCTCCAGAAACTGGAGAACAAACTCGTTCATTTGGATTCGGAGCAGCATAAAAAGAAGGTGGTCGACGACTGACGTCATGATTCCATAGGGAAAGCCGAGGTGGCCTTAGCATGTAAGGCCGGGGTCGACTACTTCGCTTCTCTAGTGCCTCACAACTCTCATCCTACTCTAGATCGTTTCTATCCTTATTGTGTCTCATGTTGTCTCGATTTGTTAAAAGATGTCTAGAAAAGTGGAGGTGGGTTGGATTTATCAGCGAGTGACGATGAGGTCGAGCCTGTTGCTGGGGTCCCTGGGGAATCTTCTGCAACTGCTATCACCAGGAGACCGCCAAGTCCAACTCCTGAATCTGGTCAAGAGCTTTGAAGACCTGCATATCTCTTCTTTTTATTTGTAGAGAAGTTTATAATGAAGTTTACTCTTATTGAATGAAAATTAACTTTTGTCTCCATTCTTGAGCTTGCCTTCATTGTTTATATTCTTTTAGCTTTGTTCTTGTCTGAAATGTTGGCTGAAATGAGTTAATTATAATGTATCGACCCGTGCTGAGGACTTATGACAACTAGTTCACCTGATGTCTTAGTTTGACTGAGCGTTTAATTGACCAGAACTTGACAGATGACTGCTTAAGTTTTTAGATCAATTAAGTATTGGTCATACACTTAATATTCATACCATAGGCTTATGAATACCTTTTTTGGCAGAATAACAATCCTGAGGTTGGGTGCTTAGGTCTTACGTAGGTGCCTAGATCTTTATAATCCCTGTATTGTCGAATGGCGACTGTGGGAGTCGACCACAGGGTTATGCATTAGGTTTATTCCTGATAAAAAAACCAAGGGCTTGAAAATCCAACATAAAAGTCGAACGCCTAGGCTCGAGAGAGTCGATTAGATCTTTCCTTCCCCTAAGACCGAGAGACGACCACGGGAGTCGGCCAAAAGGTTGTGCCTCGGATTTATTCCTGATAAGGTACCAAGGGCTTAAAATCCGACTCGGAAGTCGAATACCTAGGCTTGAGAGAGTCGACTAGGTCTTTCCTTCCCCGAAGGCCGAGAAATGATTGTGGGAGTCGGCCAAACGGTTATGCCTTGGGTTTATTCCTAATAAGGTAGGCTTAAAAATCCGACTCGGAAGTCGAACGCCTAGGCTCGAGAGAGTAGACTAGGTCTTTCCTTCCCCTAAGGCCGAGAGACGACTGTGGGAGTCGACCAAAAGGTTGTGCCTTGGGTTTATTCCTGATAAGGTACCAATGGCTTGAAAATCCGACTCGAAAGTCGAACGTCTAGGCTCGAGAGAGTCGACTAGGTCTTTCCTTCCCCTAAGGTCGAGAGACGACTGTGGGAGTCGGCCAAAAGGTTATGCCTTGGGTTTATTCCTGATAAGGTACCAAGAGCTTGAAAATCCGACTCGGAAGTCGAACGCCTAAGCTTGAGAGGGTCGACTAGGTCTTTCCTTCCCCTAAGGCCGAGAGACGACTGTGGGAATCGGCCAAAAGGTTGTGTCGTGAGTTTATTCCTGATAAGATACCAAGGGCTTAAAAATCTATCTCGGAAATCGAACGCCTAGGCTCGAGAGAGTCGATTAGGTCTTCAGCCATAGTGAAGCCTTGATCCCTGCAAGATAAGAGTTAATTCATATTTAATAAGATTTCACCAGTTCTGAAATTTACATGATTATGAAAAATATTCATTGTAGGCATCTGATGCTCAAAGGGGGTTGAACCACTTGTGATCTTGCTTTGTCTCTATTTTAAAGGCAGTTTTGTAACGGATGAGGCTGTCAGTATAAAACCTCTTTAGTTGGATTTTTCTTGCTTTTTTTAATAGCGGACTACTCAATGATAGATGAAGATGAGTTGAAACTCTATTTGCCATCTCATCAGCCAAGGTTCTTCTTGAGTCTGAATCTTCAGTAAGGCCTTGAAAGCGGATGGTTGACATGCCGATTTTTAGCAAAAGGAACTGCCCAGATGCCACAAATCATGTTAAATGGTGTTTTTCAAGTCGGATTCGCGAGGGTTGGGGGCATGACCAGAAGCTACATGGTACCTTTGTGATAGAAATTCTCTTGGAGAGAGAATCCACCAGTCGGTATTGTACTCACTGAAAACGACAAACCATAGCAATTTCCTCGAATGAGCTGTGGGAGCACTGGGGGCTGGATCATGCTGTGAATGGAGAAACTCTCCCTTATGGGGATCATGCGGGTTGCATGCTTCGATCATTAGAGCTTAGGCAACTTTAGTGGTGCAGGCGTCAATTGAAGGGTCAAGGTCATTCTTCTTGAGAAGACAATTATCTGACAGACCCTAAGCTTTTCCCGCAATCTCATCCCTGATATATAGGAGTTTCCTTCAATAAGTCATCATGGTCCAAGGCGCCTATCACAGACTTAATCACTGTTCCTATGTTCATATGAGATATTGCCAGTTGGAGCTTAAGTGATATTTGGCCTGATCAAATCCTATGTTCTAGCCAAAGTTATTCTGTGATGGTGATTAGAAGCCAGGGTTGCTTTTTAAGAAAGACAACCACCCTTATAGTGTGTCTTCTTTTAGAGGGTTTTTAGAGGGGCTAAAGGTCATTCTACCATCAAGCAGATGGTGTGCTTGGCAAACACTCCCCAGATAAGTCGCTGAGGCCTTCGAGAACTACACCTATGTTGATTCCTCTTAGCCAAATCTAACCCTCCTTAGCTTGAATGATACAATTCCTGACTTCATTTAGCTTGGATGATGCAACTCCGATGTTGTTCTTCAGGGCGGGTAGAATCGGACCATTGTTCAGAACTTGGCATGTCTTCTCGAAAAAAAAAAGGTGCCCCACGGTGGTCGCCAAACTGTTGATGCTAAATATCACACAGCCAATTAAAGTCACGGAGTTTATAAAAAAAGGAGGTCGTTTTCTTCTTCGACTTTATGCCTGATTCTGAAGTTAGGATAGCCGAGCAATCTGCACACAAAAGAGTCATAAGAGGGCGGAGATGAGTTTCCCCGTGATACCTTCAACGATCAAGTCAGTTGATGAACTTGAGTGAGGTCAAAGAAGAACTGTGTGTTCTTATTTTTGTACAGAGTGTGCTTTAGGGGGTTTTAGATTGCAAACCTTTGGCTATGACGAATAGCATCTGTATATAAAGAGGATGTCAATGGCAGATTGGTCACTTCCGCCATACAAATGACGGTGACAAAGTGTGAGCTGGAAGGTGAGTCATCCTTTGCTCTACGTGTGTCGGCTAGCGACTGGAGGAGAAGTCACTTCGATATGGGAGATGGTGTCTCCGCATTTTCTGGGAAGTGATTGAGATCGTGGCAGAAGACACGCGGGCAGCTGACAAGTCATGGAGACAGTTAGACTAAAATCTGGATAAGGTTTGTCCGATGTGGACTGAAATATTGACATATGCTCTGGGGGAGAGGCTTGAAGCCGGGGTCGAGTCCTCAACTTAGCCGACAGCAGGTAATGTCCCTCAAGTCGTCTGAGAAATGCTCAGTGAGTGGTCGAGTGCCCTAAGTGGGTCGTCCTTGGCGATAGAGTCGACTGATCCCGTCTTTTGTGTCAGCATGAAAGAATGTCGACTTGATGAGTCGGCGGGATCGAGGCCTCTGTTGGGCTTGGGCCACTTAAGTGGGTTTGAGGTTATTTTGCTAGGACTCTTATTGTATCATTTTTCAAATGCCCGTATCTTGGGTGAGTGAACATCATAACATTATTGTTGTAATGTTTTATGTAACTTTATCTTATGTTTTTAAATTATTGAGCTGTAGGTAATTCGCGCGGGATTAAGATAGGGTATAATTAAGGTTATAATAGATTAAGATTTATATAAAATATCTAAAAAAGTAAAGAGTAATATTGGCCGAGAAAAGATTTTCCCAAACTCGTGCTTTTAAAGGAAGTATGATATGATATGATATTTTATTATATTGAAGGGGAAAAAAGAAATTTTGAGCCTCTTAAAGTCGGTTTAGTTGAAAATATGATAGCAGTGAAAAAAAAAAGAAAATTCGCTCGATCACTGGAAAAAGGGAAAAGTTAGAAGCACAAAATTCAAATGCCACGTTTCCATCCTTCGGTTCCTTAGATGGGTACGTGATTTAGCGGATGATTTTATTTGGTCACGGAAAAGGATATTCCCACTAATCTATTGCGAGATGATTTTTGCTTGGATAGCTACCTTTATAGATAGCACTGAATCTACTTTGATCTGAAGGAGAGGAAGAGAATTACGAGTAGAATTCTAAAGTCGGCGTGTGGGTTTATACGATTGGAAAGGACACAGAATTGTTTGGAACACCCTAAAATAGCAATTTATTTTGTTTTGGTACCAAATTATTTGCAGCTTTGGATATGGATTTCTTTTCTCC